TTCACCTATGTCTTGCGTTTTCCATTAACTAGGATGCCCCTCTTTCTTTCAACAGCTATATACCATTTTTTAGACCTGAAATATTTATATATATGGCAAGTATTTTTTTAAGGAATCAAGGAATTTTTCAATCCAGTTCAATTCTATTTATATCACACCAGATCAGATTAGTATTTGTGGCTTTTATTGTTTTATTTATTTAAAAGGGACTGTGCAGTTTAACATAGTCCAAGTACAAAACATGAAACTGATGTAACACACATAAGTTTATAGCTATTGCTATCCTAGTAACAACCATTGTCCCTTGTTGGTCTTACAATCACAATAAATACATTTTACAATAAAACATATATTTTCATAAAACCAAAATACATCATAAATACAACTACAATTAATAGACAATAAATGAAAAAACAACAAAAACAATAACAAAAATCATTAAGTAGTTGGAAGCAGTGTTGGGCAAGTCACTTTGAAAAAGTAATTAATTATAGTTACTAGTTACTTCTTCAAAAAAGTAACTGAGTTAGTAACTTAGTTACAATATTCTAAAAGTAATTAATTACTATTGTGTTACTTTAAAAAAAAAAAAACGTTTAACCCTCTGGGGTCCAGGGTATAATTGGCCATTTTGAACCACATTTTACCTTTAAAAACTATTTACTTTGCCTTGTTTGGTATCATCCTTGTCAGCACAACCTCACATGTCTGAATTTACAGCTATGTTTTCATTTTGACATACTGTATTAACACAATTGATCTAAAATCAGACAAAAAACATAAAATCAGAGTAGAAAAGGTTATATTTTTACTCTAACAACCATGAACATGTTTATTGAATCATATTTCATGACCTTAAATGCAAATATAAATTGTCAATTTTAAAATCCTATGCACAAGTTTTGCAAACAACAAAGTTATTTGCATCCATTTACCTTTCACCTTGATTTTTTAAATAACCATTTCAAACTATTTACAGAACAATCAGCTGTTCTGCATTCAATAAGATGCCACACAAATTATTTGTGCCACTCCCAAAAAAATAATTTCTGTCCACATAAAGGAGAACATCGCAGGTGCAGGTCTAACAGCAGCAGGTGTATCACCCCTTTTTCTACCTGGAGACAGCAGTCGCCTCATTGTTCTGACACACAACACAAAACTATCCACAACACTACACACACAAGACAACACACTAACTACACAAGACAACACATTAACTACACACTCCAAACATGCTAAACATCACAAATAAAACTCGCTCTCTCTCTTTTTCTGCTGTCTTTCTCTCTCTCTCTCTCTCTCTCTCTCTCCGTCACTCCTAAAACTTCCCCTGTTTTTTTGGTTTTTGTTTTGTCATAAGCAGAGAGTGCTTGCTAGCGCTGTCCTTAGACAGTAAACGTGACGAAACTATTGAGGAAAAAACGCCGCGTATATATTGTTTATCATGACTCGTGGCCTATCAACACAATTTAAAAACTGGTATATATCATCTTCTTGCTTTGTCTTTAAGTGGTCATGTGATTGGCTTACCACGACTACTTTATTCTTCCTCAGTCAAACAACAGCACTCATGCGATTGTTTTGCCCCCTGAGCTCCAGCTGTTGTGCTAGACAGTGATCGTGATTACCGTCCGTGGGAGTGCACGCGTCCAGATTACTTACAAAGTCAGCTACTTCCGTGCAACTGATATAAGATGTGGTAAGCTGAACACAGCTTCAATCGTCTGTTTGTTGAAAAATAGTAACGGACTGCATTTTCTTGTTAGTAACTGTAACGGCGTTGTAACGATAGGAATAGTAATTAGTTAGATTACTCGTTACTGAAAAAAGTAACGCCGTTACTTGTAACACCATTATTCCCATCACTGGTTGGAAGTGTGTTCCACAGATGGCAAGCCTCTATTGAAAATGCTGAATGAACAAATTTAGATCTGCAATATGATATCTTGCAGTTGCTGTTCACCATGCTCCTAGTAATACAATTACTATCTTGTCTTTGTGTGTATCTATTAAGACACTCTGGGGCCAGCCTATTTATACATTAAAAAATTTATTTAAGAAAACACAAATGATTAAAACTCTTAAAACTAAGTAGATTATATTTCTTTAAAATGTGACAATGATGCCACCAAACAGATTATTTATACATTATTTTTAAAGATTGATTATATAAGGATATCACACTGAATTGTAGATGGTGCTGCTTGGTCCAAACTGTCATATAATATGAAAAATGGGATAATACAATAGAATACATAAATAACTGAGCTGCTGAAGTAGGTATATAATGCCGAATTAACTTAAAACAATTCAGATTAGCCTTAACCGTCTTTGAAATCTTCTTTACATGCTTATAAAATTTAGAATGTGAATCTAAAATTATTCCTAAAACCTTAAAATCTTTAGCCTTCTTTATTTCTTCATTCCTTAACTTGATTTTAAAATCATCAGATAAACTTTGTTTCCTAATAGAAAAACAGATAGAAACTGTTTTTTTAAAAATTCAATACAAGATGATTATGTTCCAGCCATTGTTGGACATCATTCAGATGTGCCGTTAAAGTGTCTGCTCCCTCACAAGGTGATTTAGCTGGTATATCTGCATTATCTGCATAAAGCTAGCAGCTAGCTTTTGGACAGTGTTGGGTAAGTTACTATAAATGAGTAACTTAGTTACATTACTAGTTACTTCTATCAAAAGTAACTCAGTTACTTCAAGTTACTCGTTACTTTCAAAGTAACTAGCTACTAGGGAAAGTAACTTTGGTTTTACTCAGAATTCTCTTGTTAATGTGTTGCTTCCCTAACTGGATACCCAGCAAGATTGCCAGTCTTCTAGCTTGCTTACTTGTCACAAGTGCGCTGTGCCACCTACCAATAGAAAGGAAAAAATAATGTGCATATTTCCAGGAGAGAAATCCCACGGCTGGACCATCATTGACCGCTGCCATGATTCTAGCCTATGTCACAGCGTCATGTGCGCTTTTTACATCCAACACAAAAACTGCAGTCGTGGTGCTTTCGATTGTACTCAGAACTCGGAAATTGCCTACGTCTTCCTAGATGTAGGCAACACCAGACTGCAGATGAGCTGCATACAGGGCTGCACTGGGACAAAAAATCGGCCCATTTTGACTAGAGACCGGCCCGCCATTATAGCAAAAATCATAAAGCCTTTGAATGAAAACAAACGCTGTTGTGACAGTGGTGTACACTGTTTTGATGGTATATATGCATCAATCCATCAATCGTTTGTTGTAAGATTCAGATAATTATTTTTTAAAAGCTAGATATTTTAAATGAGAATAAGAAAGAAAAGTATTTCCTTGTGCCCCCCTCTCCTTGTTAATGCCCTACCTGGCCCCCCTGGCAAAACTTTGCTAGAGCCGCCCCTGCACAGTTACCAGCTGTCAGCTACGTAAAAAAAGGATCCTGGTGTTATCTGTCTCTCAGAAACAGTTCATAACTTCCCTTCAACTCATCCATGTCACCTAAAAGGTAAACCTGTTTCTCCATCACCTGTTCAGCTCTGATGATTCAGTAAGGACATCTCCTGGTTTCATCTTCATGTTTCCCTCTCACCAGATAACCAAACCGATATCATGACCAGCAGCTTTACAGCTGTGGCTCCAGCAAACATCAGCTGATACTAGAAATTAATATTAAATAAATTCTAACAACAGCTGATCAAGCTTAAATGTGCTGCTGTTGTTTAGCGCGACATCCGCTGGTTTCCTCTTTCTGGCGCAAAGTGGGAGATAAACAAACAAGAGAGAAAAGCCGATCAGCTGATCATTGATCAGTTTCGTGACTGAAGTAGAAACAGGAGAGGAAGGAGGAGAGAATGAGAGAAGAAGAGGCAGCTGTGCAGCTCCAGCTTTGTGTCTTTTTTATTGTAGCTGAAGTACGGGACAAACTGTGCTCCTTTTCACCTCAAAACGAAACGTGTGATATTTTCTCTGAATACGAGACGATTCTGTTTTTTACGGGACGGTTGGCAACTCTAATAATTAACCTTATGAACAAAATAAGCTGTATAGAAACTCCGTCATGCTAGCTAGTACGCAGTACGGAAAAAGTCAGCATAACGAAAATAAACTCCACCTAAACTTGGTTTATATCCCAGAGAGACTGCAGGTCATAACTTCTTACCTGAAGTTCAGTTCACACTCGGCCCGTCGGCCGCCTCAGGTCTCTGCTCCTCCTGCGTCCCCTTTCCCTCATCCACCTGCTGGCCTCCACCACTTGCTTATGTTACTGAATCTGTGGAAGCTCCGCATAGCCACCACACAAAGTAATGAACAATGACCCTATCTAAATCCCAGTAACGACTAACGCGTTCCTGATTTTGGCATAATAACTAGTTACCGTGCTCATTACCACAATAATGATGTAGTTAATAACGCGTTAGTCCCAACACTGCTTTTGGACAACTGGCAGGCAAATCATTTATAAACAAACTAAACAGCAATGGGCCAGGAACAGATCCTTGAGGAATACCCATTCTATTTTCCAACATGGATGACTTTCCTTTATCAACCCTCACACTCTGCTCTCTTTTGAAGAAGATACGACTCAAACCAATCATCTGCTTGCTTTAAAAAAGCTAATTTAGTAAATTTAATCATCTATTTTTATAAGATGATCCCAATTGCAATTTGCAAACCCCTGTTCAAGTTTTACAATTTCAGACTTGGGATTAAACGTCTTTACATGGCCAGGGTTGTTTGTACTAAAATACTGCAGTTGTTTTTTAGTCAATTTCCTAACAGTTAAAATCATATAATGATCAGACAGACCAGTTAATAGATTATTGTATCCTACTGAGAAAACCCCAGCAATCAGATGACCCGCTTTGAGCAAGCACTTTGGCAATAGTGGAAAGGAAAAACTCCCTTTTTTTTTAAAGAGGAGAGGCAGCCATCTGCCGCGATCGGTTGGTGGTGAGAGGAAGAATGAGGAGGAACAAAGAAAAGCTGTGTGAAGAAAGCCAGAGATTAATAATAACTAAGGATTAAATGTGGTGTATAAACGCCTCTCAATATTCAATTCAATCATAGCGCTGAACTGATGTTTTTGACCATTATTACATGGAGTGCCAACTCTTAATGGTCACAATTCGCAAAATGTATATAAAAATCACAAAAACAGCTTTACTTAATCATTTTATTCCTAACAGTAAGCACATTGTGAGTGAAACAAATGAGTGAATAAGAAACACTCGTCATCGGAAGCCCCCAGCAGCCTAGACCTAGGAATCAAAGGTTTGCTTCAGCTGGCATCACAAAGGAAGTAACGTCACAGTTGACTGGTGACACAATTGCCTGTGATAAAAACACCTTTGTTATTGGACTGATTCTTATATAGTGCTTTTCTACTCTCTCACATTTACCCAATTACACCCATTCTCACAAGCACTGTCTCCAAACTGAGTGCTGTCTAACCACATTCACACTCCGATGGATGCATCGGAGAGCAACTTGGGGTTAGTATCTTGCCCAAGGATACTTGGCATGCAGACTGGAGGAGCTTGGGATTGAACCACCAACCTTCTGATCAGTAGGTGACCTGCTCTACCTCCTGAGCTACAGCCACACACTTATCAGTTGTGGTTGCTGGGATCTTTGAGGCTTTACAGAACTGGTGTAAAAGGA